CACCCGAGAAAAAAAAAAAAAAGCAATGTGTTGGCACGCAAAAAGTCCAATGTCACTCCCACAAAACATTAACATCAAAATCCCATCTAACTCCCATGGAGCAGTCATGAAGCCCAGATTAAAACCCTGTAATCAACTCCTCGAGCCTATATACTCCCAACACAGCACGATGAAGCCCCAGAATGTAGTCATACAAGTCCTCTAAGCCATTACACGAACCCATACGACGAATCCTTGGCAATCATTCAGGTCACTCCGCAATACCTTTTTGAAGCCAGCTTCCATTTCATGTTCCTCTTNNNTGGTTTCCATTTGATTTTCCATATTCTTGTCCAGTTGATGCTCCATATTGCATATTCGTCAAGCCAGTTCACCTCTGGATGCCCCTGCCCCTGGAGAAGCCTTGTATGATGCCCAAACTCCGCTTAAACTTTAACTTGCTGAATCTTAGCGGGAAATAGGGGAATTCAATCCCTGTATAGCGTGTATTCCCTTATTCCCTGAACACCCCCAGTTTTAAGCAGAAGTGGCCTGGGCCGCATCTCTGGAAGCGCGGGTGGCTTCAGGCCAAGCACTGGGGCCACTTCCTGCTCCAGAAGAAGGGGACCGATTGGGTGAAGGGGTTTGGGGGTTGGGTTTTTGGGGTTTGGGAATTGGGTTTCAGGGTGTATGTGAGGTTAATGTTCCCAGGGTTTGGAGTTTATGTCGGGTTTGGGGTTAAGGGCTTGTGTGGGGGCTTAACTTCGGAACTGCTCTGGGCTTCAGTTGCCTGAAGAGATCCTCATGAGTGCCCAACATAAAGTCCGGATTGCTACAAGGTATCGTTTCGAATTTCCGCTGCAATTGTGGTTGGGAGGGAGCTGGAACAAGAAATGGATCTCAAGTGTCTCAAGTGTGTCAACCCTGTATTATCTTCGGGAATAAAACCACCGCAACACACTGTTCTGCAAAGGACAATCATGTCCATGAGACAAATTAAAACCAAACAGTCCTCTAGAATCCCAGAAGCCTCCACACAACCCGCGTGCAGTTCCTACGCAACCCCACAACACGACCCTATCTTCCCCTGTGGATTGCTACTGGTTGGCAGACATCAAGGGCCTGCGGTTGCTGCGATTGCTTCGCCGTCTCATGCTTCAGAGCCTGCACGGGATTTTGAATTTCTGTGGGGGATCAAAGGTTTAGCGTTTTTGGCTTGGGGTTTAGGGTTTAAGGGATTTCCTCTTGTAGGGAATATCACATGGAAAATGAAAGGGGAACAGGGATAACATACTGATTCAAGGGGATTGGGGACTCCAGAAATTAGGGGCCCCTTTTTGGGTGTCCCCGAAAAAGACGATAGTACATAGGTGTCTACATTCCTGTGCGACGCAAGGGTTACCCTGTGGGATCAACAGTGCTCGTGTGCCCGAAGGTGGTCTCATTAATGGCATGTAAGGTATAGTCTAAACTCCTTATAGGGGGCATATAGGGGATTATATAGGCGATTATTGTAGGAGTTATTCAGCCGCGGGATAGTAAGAGTTTAGACTACAGATCATGTGGTCCGTGCAATCTGGCTACTAATTGATGCGGAGGCCAAGTACCATTGAGGCTCGTTCACCCTCTCCCGGTCTCAACGCTCGTCACTCACTTCAAAGCAAGTTTGGGGACATCTCAGCCCTTGCTGTTATTCGGCAAGCCTTGGCAAAAAGTGAACTATGTGCATGTTGGCTCTGCTCTGTTCTTCAGATTCTTTCCTTGGCCTGGCACATCTCCTATCCAATAAAAACTCCGGGATCCTTCAACTCCGAGCATCCTAAGACCCCTAGCAACTGCTGAAACCCCCTCTATAGATCCTTGCAAGAAAGCCCTCCTGCCTAAATCCTGAACCCCAACCCTTCAAAGAAGAACCCATACACCCCCTGAAGCCTGCTCCAGCAACTGCGCGAGCGACCCCCGCGAAGCCGCAAAGTCCGCCTGCAGGGCAAGTTTTCTCAGCAAATGTGCTTGCAAAGGTTTGCCAGAATTTCTGAGAATTTGTAAGGATTTAAAGAATTCTGCAAACTCTATACAGTTTTGGCGGGAATTGTGGCTTTGGAAGCAATCTTGCAAACTTCATGGGATGTTGTTGTAGAGGTCGAAAGTTTGAAAAATTCTTCTCCATGGCTGGAATGCTTTTTTGCATAGGACTGGTTTTGCTGATTGAGCTTTTCTTGATGACCCCCAATATCAGAGCCAAATAAGAGTCCATCTCGAGAAGCTCAGCACCGGTCTCGGGTCTGCAAAGGAAGAGGGTTGAAGCATGTGCTACTGCATGCGCAATCCGATTGAACAGGAGGCCCATCAAACAAGCTGATTTTGAGCAAGGAGTTGAACAACTAATCGGGAACTTAAAAATGCACATGAGGCTGAGGACGTCAAAGAGATACGTGAAGAGCACAAAGCAACTCCCAGATAACTCTGACCTATTCGTATTCAAACACAAAGCCTGAAACCCCGAACTCACATGATCCCCTGTGTAAAGGGTTTGTCATCTTCAAGTCAATAGGGTTATATCTGGTCATTGGTGTCCGCTACAAAAGTCTCCAAACAAAGGTTCCCCAGCGTGGCGAAGCTGCTAGAACGGGCCCGAAAGTTTGAGTAACCCCGCCACAACCAGAGAAGTTAATAGTACCTGCCCCTAGAAAAACTGCACTCATTTTCACGCCCCCCCCCCCCTCCCCCCTCAAACATCAACAATGATGTGTGGACTGCCTGGATTCGATCCACATCCGCGAGGTCACGATTCGGTGCTTCAGAAGAGGAGCCTGGAATTCTACCAAAGAGACATCTAGCCTACTGGCAAATGGGGCATCAGGGGATATGTTACATAGGGATTGTAGGGATTATCTTCCTGTATTCCCTGCTTAAGCTAGGTGCTACTGTAGAAACATGGCGGCAAGTCTACCAGCAGTGTCAAACCAACAGGTCTGCTCTACTCTTAGTTTTGATGGAACCCTTGAGGTCTTCCAGCGTTGGCCGTCTTTGCGGTTAGAATGTTCATACTTCAACCAGTTCCAGAAACATCTTCACCAACCTACAACCCCCTTTACAGGGTCCCTAAACCCTGAACCGCGTAAATAACCCCCATAACAGGACGCCTCGCCTGAGTCACTCGGCTTCCCGCGAGACTCTGACGTCTCTGGAATCGCCAGGCCCCTGCAATCGCACAGTGTCCCCTTTGAAAAGAGGTTGTAGGGGTGATATGTATAGGGTTTAGAGACACTTCGAAGGGTTATGGGAGTTATTTAGGGCTTAGGGTCAGGTAGGGAATTCAAAAGTAAACTACGTAAACTGCTACGCTGTTTAGGATGATTCGGGACCCGAACACGTAAAACGGTGGAGAGCCAAAATGAAAAATGAAACAGATACTGTGCTTATTGGGGGCTGTAAGGTGTTAGCCAGGATATGTTCTGTTGGGGGTGTATATAGCGATATAGGATACAGACGTAAGTTTGGCAGCTATTACATCCTAAACCTCAAGCTCTAAGCACGAAACCCTCAACCCTAAACCCTAAACTCTAAACCCCAACAAACCCTCAAGACCCTTAAACCCTAAACACCTGGAGAATGAAACTTTAGGTTCGACGTTCTTAGGCGCTTATGGTACTAGTACTTTGGGGGCCTAAACAAGTCTCAATTTTGCGCGACGTATGGCGATTATACTGGGATACAACTGCAGTAAGAGAGAATCTCAAGCGTAGGGCCCTCTATGTATCCTCGGGAACAACAGGACCCTCATAATGTGAGGATCCTCATAATGTGAACACCCCCACACACTACTAGCTTCGATAACAAACCTCAGCCCTAAGTCAAGCATACTCCTGCACCACCTGTCTGCACCTCAGAAACCTTGTATCCCCATGCGAACTGGATACAATATCTTTTCTAGATTCCCCAGTAGCCCCAATAATCACAACGGTACTCTTTTCCTAGTGTTCATCTGGAGACTCCAAAAAAAAAGAAAAGGGTGCTACTGGGATGCCTAGTCCCAAAAAACACTCGCAAAAGGACGCTGCTATGCAGTGTCTGGAGCTTGTCCTCAAGCCAAGCTTTTTGGCCTTGAATCACTCTCCCCAAATTCACATTAAGGATCCCCCCCTTTGAAAAGGACGAGAGTCGTTGCGTGTCAGCTTGGGGCAGGGAAAGGGCAACCCACTGCATGGGAAAGAATTCAGCCCGACACCTACCACTGTCCAGTTTTGTCTTCAGCAGCTGCTCCCGGTTGCCCTTGCCATGTTAGGGACTTACACTCCCCCTTAAGTAGATAGAATATGGGGTATATGGGGATCTTATTATAGTAATATACCCAAAGCCATCTTCTATCTAAGTGGTTTTAGGGGGATAAGAGGTTTCGGGCTTGGTCTTCAGGAGGAAGCATGGCATGAGCTTCTCATAGTGATGCTTCTCTGTCTTAGAGGAGACGAAGGAGGGATTACATAAGCATTTTCTGGGCTTTTTGAAGGCTGGCGATTAGGAGGAATTTCTCACGCCCATGGTCAATCTTAGGTATACAAACCATTACTTACAAAAATGGGTGTCCTCCTCATGCACCCCCAAACAGCCTAATTCTTATCGTAGGGAACCCCCAAAGCCTTTAAGGTTTGGTTGTTTGAGCGAAATAAGGGCTCTGCATGTGGTCAAGGATCTAGGGCGTGCAGGTTTTGATTTGGGGGGGCATCAATGGGCATAGAGATTGATAGTTTGATGGTTTTATGGCTTGAATTTGAAATTGACATTGCTTGATTAGTGTTGGATAGCCCGTCCAATAAATTTTGTTTTGCAACCCCACAGTTCCCTTGCTGAGGTTCCCAAAGTGGCTGGAAACAAGAAGTGAAGGGGTCTTGAAACAGCCGAGGCCCTCAACCTGCCTATTGGTGAACATGATTGACGTTGATTTTTTCTGAACCCCATTACGTAACATGCGGTCATGGCTTGGAATATCTTATTCATCACAAAACGGGAGGCAGAAGCCATGTGTCATCTTAAGCCATGAAGCACTAAGCTACCAAATCTAAGAGTGACCTTGCCAGATGTTTCTGGAATGATCTTCAGATCTAGCTAATTACAGGATTCCTGCAACGGCCTAATTTTGGGTATCACCCCCCCCAAACTAACATGGAGCCCCACAAATATAGTCCTCTGCTTGAAAGGACAGTAGATTCTGCTCCCATGTTATGAAAAAGCCATCTCCCATCTCACACCCCAAACCCGAATCTCCCTGGTCTCCCAACTTCCCCGACATATACATATATATATACATACATATAGGTATAGTCCATTTAGGAGTCCTGGCTTTTTCAGACCAAAGCATCCATGGCCGAACCATGATAACGGCCGTGGTACGAGTGCATACGATGTCCAAAGCAGCCATGGCCGCACCATGATAACGTCCGTGTTACAAGTGCATACGATTTCCAAAGCATCCACGGCCGAACCATAAAAACGTCCGTGGTACAAGTGCATACGATCCTTATACATATATATATATATAGGAGTGATGATATTACTCCTGAGTGCCCTGAGGTCGGCCTTGGAGGTCTTCCGCCGCACTTTCACGGTGCCATCTAGAGGCTTAGGGCTGCTCTCAGCGCGCTGACAGAGCGCCTCAGGGTTTCAAATTTGGGGTTAAGGGCTCTGGGGCGAAGAGGGGGCAGCTAAGCAAGGGTTCAGGCCAGGGGTCTATCAGTGCAGGAGGAGAGCTGAAGAGGGATTAGTTGTAAGTTCTATGTGGCTAATTAGATCGTTTCCGAAGGTAGGGATGCCTTCAGGAACCAGCCGAACAGTTGTACATACTTAAGGCTATGGGAACAGGGGCACTTACAGGAATGTTTTGAAGCAGAGGTTGGTGATGAGGGGAGGGGAGCCTACCTTTAGAAGAAATTTGAAGTGTAGACGCAAGGAGCTAAGCTCCGGCTTTGAAACTCTGCAGCCTCAAGCTTCAAGCCAAGCACCTGATGTCCTGTACAGTGGGACACACAAGTCTGTGTGTCCTCCAGAGTGAGTACGAGTCCCAATTAGCAGGTCCATAATAGAGGTCTCATTCAAGTCTTTACTTGTTTGCCATGGCAAGAGTTATGTAAACTGTCACTGTGTTGGGGGCAGTATCCAACCTCTACCTTCTAATTTGCCTTTGCGAAGCCCTCAGTCCCCAATACCTCCCTGCTCACCACTGTTCACTACATCTGACATCGGATAGTCTTGGGCCCCCTCTAGAATCCCCAATAGTATGGTACTCTCCTTTTTGTCCATTCCTTCATTCCCTGCTAACCACTGAAAAAGCCAAACACCTGAGCCTAAAACCGCAACTCCAGCGCCTCCGTCGACGCAAGAAGCTCCTCGAAGCGGGCCTCTCAATTCCCAAAAAGAAATTCTCTAGGGCCCTCCAGGAATATTGAAAGCAATACGGTACTGGAAGGGCCTAGGGTTTAGGGTTTATACTAGGGTGGCATATAGGAATTGTGGGATGCGTGAAGTGCCTTGCCTTGAGGTGATCAAGGGTATCAAAAAGATTGCGGGGCTACGCGTCATGGTCAGATACTAGAGGTAGCTGTAGGAGTTATGAAGGCATATTATGAAATTACCAAAAGGCCCTTGCATTCGCAAACGTTTGGCCCTCAGGGTAATAATGGTTTCATGGTTTGGGTACAATTTGTAGCATCCCGTTCCACACTACCAAGCGTTCCAAGTCAGATCCTGATCTAAAAGCCCAGCTTCCATCCAATTCTCCTTCTTCTTCTCCATTTGATTCTTCAAAATTTCGGTAATCTGCGTTACAGTAGAGATTTTGCGCCCGCACACACTAGCAGCAGGGAATGGAGCAGTGAAACTTCACAAGGGGTGCTTTGTGGGAGCCCTTTTTCTTAGTGGCTCTCCAGGGCACATGCAGAGCCTTTGCTACATTATATGTTTTTCTCAACAAGGTGGGCATCCGAGGAACCTTGGGTTATCTGGGATCACAAAGGGAAGGTCTCAAGAAACTCCCATGCTCTGAAATTGAAGATTGGGTGGGCTTCATGCCCTCCACAACGTCAAGCAGGGGCAAGCTCTGGGGCCCTTACCATACGCGCTGTCTCTACATCCCTATTGAAAACCTCTATCACCGCAGTCAAAATTGCATACATGCCGCCTTTCAATCACATGTACATACCTGCTTCTGATCACCATCGCCAGAACACTCCCATCTTCCCTTAGCATTCCTTGACCATGAGCGCTAAACCCAATGGCCCAAGACCCTAGAACCAGATCATCAACCCTACAAACAAAATCCAAAACCCTAGGCCCCCCAAACACCCAATCCCGCATCCAACCCCTGCGTGAACCTTCGTGGCACCCTCCCCTTGTTCACATGAGGGCATCTCAAAATGGGGGTGCCCTTGAGCGGCCCTAGGCATAGATCTATGTAGGAGCCACTGGAGATATAGGCATCCCCTTAGGGATTGCGTGGAGATGATCCCGGCAAGTCCCATGTGGGGATTTCCCAAAATTAGGAGCACCTGTTTGGGGATCCCTATAATAAGGATCATATCGTTCGAGGTCTATATTGGTGTCCCCCTAGTTTGGGATAAGCCCTAAACTCGACTATTCCTTGCTCTCTAAACCCTAAACCCCAAACCCCAAACCCTAAACCCTAAACCCTAAGCCCCGAAACCTTGAAACCCTAAACCCTAAACCCTAGACCCCAAACTCGAAACCCTAAACTCTAAACCCCAAGTCCCATGTCTCGCAGCTGGCCTCGGTGGCATCGCTGAAGCGCTGCAGCTCCATCTGGACGTCACGCCTGGGTTCGTACTTGGGAGATCTTGGCAGGCTACTGTGGGGGTCAGGGGGACTTAGTACTATTAGGGTTATATAGGGATAACGGAAAATGAAATGGAGACTACTATAATGGGCTTATATAGGGTTTAGGGTTTACGGGGACTTAGTAAGTGGGTTAATAATGGGGCTATTAACCCCACTTACGAAGTCTCCCTGACCCTCCAAGTAAAAATACTACAGCCTAAGGTGGACGGTTTTAGAGTTCAGCGTTCAGGGTCAAGCACTTAACAGCAACCTGGTAGACACTTGTGGTTTCAAGGGGATTGAAAATGGGGCTGAATGCTTAATTTGCGCTGGTGACGCTGGATGTTTGCGTATTTGGCTACGGCTCTTGGTTCGAATGTATATATGGGGATGAGATTGCGACGGCCTGGGTTGAGGGATTTGAAGACATCTTGCAGGGTAGTGCATGCAAACGCTCGTTCCAACGTTCGTCAGGAAACGGCCCTTGAGCTAGACAGAACATGAGACCTGCACAATCAAACTCCGAACCCCAGAAGGCCCTGAACTCCTAAACCCTTAATGCCCCAAGGTCTGCCATCTATCTCTATCCATGTCTAATCTAACCACGGCTTTTTTTGAATCGAAGTCCATCTTTACTTTATGACCCTAAACCCTTAAACCGTAAACCTATAAACAAACCCGAAACCCTGTAAACCCTTAAATCCTGAACCCTTAAACCCTAAATCCTAAACCCCTACACCCCAAAGCCTAAACCCCTAATTCCCCCCAACCCTAAACCCTAAACCCTAAACCCTAATCCCTAAACCCTAAACCCTAATCCCTAAACCCTAAACCCTATTGGGTACCATAATATCCTACTACTCTCATGAAGTCTCTACACCCCTAAACCCTTCCCCCAAGAGCTGTCTGGGCGGCTGTAGCTCACCAAGCTCCGAGAGCTCGGAGGCCGGGCCCAGGCGCTCGGAGGGTCGGACCCTTAAGTAGGATTTAGGGTTTGGGGCTTAGGATTTAGGTCTTAGGGGTTTAGGGTTCAGGGTTTAAAGGTCTTGGGGCTTGGGGTTTGGGGTTTGGTTTGGGGTTTGAGGTTTCGTGTTCAGGGTTTGTAGTTTAGGGTTTGGAGTTAAGGCTTTAGGGTTTGGGGTTTAGGGTTTGGGGTATAAGGCTTAGAGCATCATGAGGGGATTGCTGTTAAGGAGCTTAAACTATTTTACTACAACAAGGAAATCCGGTTACTTACGTACTATATACCCGTATCAAGTAGGAGGAGTATACAAGGTTCAGATAGAGTTTCCAGAGCATTTTACAGAGCTTAGATACAGTTGATATGGGGATTAAACGGGGTTCATATAGGACTTTTATAGATTTGCTGTTAAGGAACTCAAAATAAAATACGTTACCAGAATAAGGGTATATGGTAAATAGTAGGGTTTCCTTCTTATTGTAACTGAAATTAAACTCCCCAGCAGTAACCCAGTCATAGAGGAATTATACAGGGTTTACATAGGATTTCTATCGGGATTTACTGGATGGCTTGGCATTCAGGATGTGGGGTTTAAGGTCGAGGACTCTTCTTGTTGGACCCTTCTAAGGCTCCGCAGGGTTCATGTGCCTCTGGATGCTAGCAGCAACCGCAGCTTATGCAGCAGGTGTAGAACCGATGGCCAGGCGGCCAAGCAAAAAACAAGAAAAAAAGGTACACGTAGGTTGCAGAAACAAATAGAATTCACAGGGGTGTTGATCACGTGAAGGCCTTGGGCAGGCTTCTACGGCAGCACATTCTGCATTAAGAAGTGGATGTTATTCTGAAGTGGATGAACTCCACAGTACCTCCTTCACAGCGACAAGTCCCGACAAGTTTCTAGCGTCTTGCAAGTTTCGCAGTCTTACGTAGATCTTAAGCGGCTGAAGCAGTGCCTTCCTGCAGCAACAGCATGTTGTGGGAATATACTGGGTGGTAGTCTTCGAATGCTTCTAAGATGAAACTGCTTATGCAGCACTGGTTCTCATATGTTGTAGGTGGTCTGCTGAGCTCCTGCAGAATGCCTCCAAGAAAGGCCCTCCAAAAAACGACATAATTTCAGATGTGGCATGCAAAATCTTCCTTCGGGGCACCGGAAAAGAGATCGCTCGATTTCTTGTAACACTGGGTTCAGGGGGTGCTTTAACCCAACGCACCTGACCTCAAGACCAAAACCTAATCCAAAAACATTGAACACAAAATGCCAACCCCACTAATTATGCCCTGCTCAGCACTCTCAGGCTCCACTCTCAGTGCTCTCCGAGCAGCTGCGAGGAGCCGTCCATCACCTGCAACAGAGGTTCGGGGAGTTTCGGGATTGAAGGCCAATGCTCCGAATCCTCAAACGGTCAACGAGGAGACCCAAAATGGGGTTTAGGGTTTAGGATTAAGGTTGGCTCTGGCTTCTGAGGAAAAAAAGAAGTTCACATGTGCTCTCACAAAAAAGCACCGAGATTGCCTAAAGACGCCTAAAGCCAAACCCGAGATCCACATCCACTGGACCCACAGGTGGCTGGCAGGGATTGGGCTATGGTAACGAGTAGTTTCCATTCTCTTTTCCATGCTCCAAACCCTAAAACCCCTAAGTGGTAGTTTCCATGTTCTTTTTCATGCCCTACTAAACCCTAAACTCTAAGTAGATCGCCGCTGGGGTCTGAAACGTTTACCCTGAATAACATGTCAAACCAGCAATAAGAAGAGACCTCCCTTCAACAATAAACCTTCCCTTCAATATAAACTGGTACTGTTTTGGGGGGGGTATTTAGTACTAGGAGGTGTGGGTTATAACTCCAACCCTCAACCCTAAACCGTAGAGCAGACAAAGCCCTATAACCTGGGCCCATGTCAACATCTAGCTTCCTTGTCATGTCCCGCTGTCGTGTGCGTTTACTTCTCCATGCTTGGGGTGATACCCCCCTAAACCCTGTATAATCCCTGTATCTAAGCCCTATTTATGCAATCCCCAAAGAATGTCCCTATATGGTCCCCATAGAATCCCTACACACCCTACAGCCCTAAACCCTAGACCCCACGACCTAAACCTTAAAACCCTAAAACCCCAAAACGCTAAATCCCTAAACCCCCCAAAACCCTAAAACCCTAAAACCCCAAACCTTAAAACCCTAAAAACCCAAAAACCCTAAACCCCTAAACCCCTAAACCCTACCACCCTGAAAGAAATTCCGTCGCGACGAGGCGCCAGGAGCGACAGCGAGGCCAACTCGTGTAGCCATGCGTCTGCCACACGGGGCTCTGCGCAGAGCGCCTCCCATGGGTTTAGGGTTTAGGATTTGGGGTGTAGGGCTTGAGGTTTAGGGTTCAGGGTTTGGGGTCCGAGATTTGAGGCTTAGGGTTTGGGATTTGGGGTTTAGGGTTTAGGATTTGGGGCTTAAGATTTACGATTTAGGCTTCCAATAATACAGAATCAAATGGAACAGAACATGGAAAACAAAATGGAAACTACCACATCAAAGGTTATACAGGGAAGTACAGGGACTTGAGTGAGAAAAGGTCCTAACCATGTGGCCCCCGCACCTGCTTCCTGGTACCTAGCTATGGGCCATTGATTTGGTCTGTGGGGAAAATGGCGGGGTGGGAGGAGTCGGATTTAGGGTTTAAGAGGTCAGGAGGTCAGAGATTTGGAGCTCTATTAGAAATCTCAAATTTGCAGATCTCTGCGAATTTTAGTCTCGAAGGTTTTGTTTAAGGCCTTCTGCCAAAATGCATATCTGAGTGATTGTCGAAAGTGTGGCCCTGCGTCGGTCCACAGATTTGCTCTATGGCTGTGGGCAGCAAGGGGCCACATTTTTGACCACTACCATTTTTTGTGCGTGGGTTGAGGGTGGGTCGTTGGGTTTACAAGCACTTTGGAGCCGCGTGCAGTGGTTCCAGGCTTTACAAGATTTGCCCCTTCTTTTGGGTTTTTTGACTTCTTTGTACTGAAATTTACTGGTCCCGCGGCCCTTGTAAAGTTGGATTGATCATGAAGATCCTGTGTAGTTCGCTGGGCTCTGAGACACATTTTGCTAGATGTACCAAAAATGCTTCCACCCCAGGACCCCAACAATGAAAACGCGCACGGGTAAGGTCCACGCCGCACTTGTGTTTTCGGGATGTGGAACATGTGCCAAGTCTGATCGAGGAGGGAGTTGGAGGGAACAGTATTGCCTCTAAAACCGATTCTTAAATCGGTACGTGGCGTAGCTTAGCCAAGTGAATTGCCATAGTCGTTTTCCTTTTCTTTGTTTTCCATTATCCTTACATTCCCCTTTGAATGAAAAAGTTTCAGCAGAACTTGCGAATGTAAAACGTATCACTTGGTGCTGCAGACTCCTTGCATCCCTCTCAAAAGCACGGCCTCTGCCAAGTCGAGGGCGCGGCCCGCCAGTGGACAGCCCCTAGAAAAAGGTGCTTCTAGGCATAAGGCATAAAGCAGGAGCTTCAAGACAATGACTCCAGGCATAATAGGAACCATTCGACACTGTTTGTAATCAGAACACGAAGCATAAAACAATGGTTTCTCAATCACAGTAGGAGTTGTAGAGCAATGGGTCTACTCACAATAGGAATCACAACACAGTTACTCCAAGTGTAGAAGAAGGACATTCCAGACAGTGGCCTAGGCTGGCAATGACGTTACTCATCACCATGAGACCACCATGGCTGCTCCTACAAATTCTGCTTCATTTACTATTGCTTCTACTCCTGTTCCCCTTCATGCTCTTGCTGCAACGGCTACGGCTACTACTTGTCTAGGCGAGACTATTATTCCTAGGGCAAGCAGTGACAGACGAACTCGCATTTCCACGGACAAGGCAACACAACAACAACAACAACAACAACAACAACAACAACAACAACAACAACAACAACAGGAAGAGGGAGCAGGAGGAGGAGCAGACGTAAACGGAGGGAGCAGAGGGAGACGAAGAAGCGGAGGAGGAGGAGGAGGAGGAGGAGGGGGAGAAGGGCGACAGCAGCGATGACAAGGACCGTGATGTGGCAGAGCCACCAATGCAGCCACTGCCGCTGACGATAACAATGAATGATGAATGGAGTGAATACTTCCTGGAATTTAGGGTTGTGGATTTGAAGGCCTCTCGGGCTCTCGGGGTTTGGGACTTTGACTTTTCCCAAACGTTGAGACATTGGAATCTCAGAAATGCCACCTTCGTCGAGCCACCAGGTGTTGAGACGCACACACACACAAGCAGTTAATCACTTCTAGTGAATGCCTCGTAGCACCTGGATGCATTGCTTGTCCCTGGATCCTCAACCAAACGCCCAGGCACCGATCGCTCTCGATGAACTCTGACAGCACCTCCTCCGCGCGCGGTGCAAGCCAAACACAGGCCTCCGCAGGATGCGGTCAAATAGGTTCGGGTTTTGTTCCGGAGTAAACAGACTGTCGTGAAGGTCCATTGTGAAACTCCCTGTTTTTAAAACTCCCTACATCTGCAATATGGGCGTGCAGTTCACGATGTTTGGGGTTCAAAGTTTAGGGTGCGTACAGAAAGAGTTCGCTCCTCTGGGTTCTGATTCTCCTGTAATTCCTAAGCTACAGAATATAGAGGACGTGCAACATGTCTTCAGTCTATTTTATATCCTAAATATACTAGAATTCCGCCACAATATGGCCAATGTAGTTCAATGCCGTGTAGATTGCAAGAAGCAACATGTAAACATGTATACATGTACACGTATATGCATATGTACATGTACATATACATATACAGGTATATGTATATGTATATCTAGTAAAAACCCACGTATTGAAGGATGTCCCTTTGATTGAAAAAACCTTTCAGAGCTACAGGGAATGGGTACCTTCCAACCTCCAACACTCGCCCCCTAACCCCTAAATAGCAGTTTCCATTTTATTTTCCATTATCCCAATATGACCCCAATATATACCTAACCCAAATATAGACTAGGGTTTAGAGCCTTACTCTTGGGCCACGGCCCAGACATCCTGAACTCCTTATGAGACCAAGCATAACAGGCTTATCATAGGGTTATATGGGGGTTATATATATATATATAGGGTTATATAGGGGTTAAATGGGGGTTATAATAAGGTTATATAGGGGTCATATAGGGGTTGTGATAAGGCTATCTAGGGGTTATCTAGGGGTTATAATAGGGTTATGGAGAGTGAAAAACTTCGGGCCCTTCGGCTCCGCACATACACCGAATCCGGTTGATGTCAGCCTACGACTGTTCTGCTGCTAATATTACACAATTCCTGCATGACCCTCAATATACTATAGCACCACTGTTCCCAAGCTATAAGGTCATGATTTCTAGCATCCACCGTAGGAAATGGGCCGGCTGACTCTAAATCCCTTCGGTATCCAGGCTAGCTTTGATTCACAAGGAATGAAGCCCAATCCAATCCAATACCCCAACCCCCTAAGCGCTGAACCTTGTGAAAGCTCCGGAAAATATGAAAACCAAAAAATCTGAATAATCGTAACCCTAGATTGGTTCTTTCGCAGCTTGAGGAACTTGTGGGGAATCCGAGAATCCTTCTCAAAACCCTGAGTCTATAGGGAATAAACATCATAAACCCGAAGCTTTAATACGATTCTCACAGGAGAGTTTTAATCTTCAGGCTTATCTAAATGTTTCCCGTCTGACAAATTCTTGAAATCAAGAAGCCCCGTCCAGTCCGCAAAGTGACTTGGTATAGAGTTCAACCACTTCGAATTGGAAAACCAACTCATACTGCCCAAGCCTGCTTAACCTCTAGTTGATTTTATAGTGAATCCTCACCCCTGAACCCTCGGGGGGTTCAGGGCTAAACCCTAAATTGCGAACCCTCAACCCTAAACCCTCAAAGCCTAAATCTCTGACCCTGAACCCTGAACCAGTACATATCTAGGTTCCCCAGTAAACCCTAAATAATGAGGGTACCCTTTTTCCTACTGTTCTGTTTTAATAAGGAGACCCTGAAATAAATAGGGTAAAAGGGTACTACTGGGCCACTGGGGTACCTAGATATGCAAGGTCAGCCACAGAATCTCCAGGCCTCGCATCGCCAAGCCGCAGTGCGCGTCAGGGCCGCGAAGAGCCAGGCCTTACACAAATCAGCTGAACTGGGCTGGGTCTAGGGTTTAGGGGACCCTTACCCGCTATGGAAAGCTAGTTTTTGAAATAGGACTACCGCTTGGGCCAGGATGAACGATGCTTGCTGGCCCTGGTTTCTACGCCTTTGGGGTAGCTGCTCTCGGCAAGCTGCTACTGTAGGAGTGGGCTAGGTAGGTCCAGGTACGTTATGACAAGGGCTTTCTGGGGACCATACGGTCCGCAAAGCGATGTATGTGCGTCAGCATTCAAGCCCTCCAAGGGTCTAGCGGCACTAAGTCGGTTAGTAACCTATAAACCATATAGTAAGCCTAGTGATCCCAATATTAACCCACTTACTACATCCTCCAAGTACGATTGACCTCTTACCTCCCCCCCAGTCCCGTTGGTCTGTGTTCTGTGGTTCAATTTTGGTTTCGGAGGGTATAGTGTTCATACCAAAGCGTTTTTAAAAGCTGCATAGAAGGTTTACAGAAGGCTCATACGCTTGGAAAAATGGACGGTTCCTAAAAGGTTTAGGGATTCTGTGAAGAAGTTTGCTGAAAGATTTCTACAGGGTTTACAGTGTTCTGTCGAGCTCTCATTAGAGGTGACTCGGCCCGTCCCATGGCTGGTGGTCTGGGTCAGGCTTTATAGAGAGGTGTACGGAGAGAGTTCGGGCTTCGTGGAGTGCATCCCTCTCCCCACATGAAGACCACACCAAAAAAACTATTTGCGAGACATTTGTGAGGTTTTTTAGGCTACAACTCGAATAGATTTCTACCTGGCGCTGAGCTTTTCACAGACTGGGCCTAGTCTCAATTGAATTATTGCTCAGGGAGGTTGTAACTGTAATAGTACCTGTAAAAAATGCCAACTGTAATAACAATTCTAACAAGAAGATACGCTGCCTTGAAAAGCTCAAAGCTGTGCGTTTAAGTTCACGGTTGATGCTTGCAGGGTTGAGCGATGGTATTATATGAGCTATAGTCTACACTCCTAGTATCCCCCTTCATAACCCCTATCATACTCCCCTATGTAATCCCCTATATAACGCCTTTTGGGGGTCCCCCTATTACGGATTATAGCATTTAGGATTCTACATTGGGATCCCCCTCTAAGCTTCAAGGGACTTAGGGGTCCGCAGTGCATACCAAATCATGCAAAGCTCTTGGCTTGGCAATTGAAGCTTCAGCTAGGGTTTAATGTAGGGTTTAATAGGACTTAATGTAGGGCTTCATAGGGCTTAGTAGGGTTTACTAGGGTTGTATAGTGGTTATGTAAGGATAATGCAAACGGAAATGGCAAATATAATCTAGGGTTTAGGGTTAGGGTTTATGTTGGGATATTACCCCAATTCTGGAGAATCAAGCGGGGGATTTATGGAGGCATGATATAGTGTAGGGCTTTTGACACCGAAATATAATTGGTGCCTAGAACCCAGTTATGACCATATCAGGGGACTTACGTGGCTTAAACTTTTACATGGGTTATAAGTACAGCTATACTGGGGGTATGATTACACTGACCTGCAAGTAATAGCAGCTTTTGAACCGATGGGCCAAGGATTGCAAAGGGGTATGTGGATAACAGGTTTTGATGATATCGGGTTTACCATGCCATGCAATGGTCTGCCAGTCGACCTTCCCAAAAACATGTTCACTTTACGTATGTAAGTGTTATGCAGGTGACATCCGGCTGTCAATAAAAATGTCATACCTTGACCTTCAAACTCCGTAAAGCCTGCCGACCCTGTAGGACCCCCAAGCCTTCTGACCTTTTACCTCTGCACTCCACATGAGCCATTGTCTAAACTCCGAATATCCTGCTTTACACCCCCAACCTTAGTTCCCTATATAATCCCCCATATAACCCGCCCTTTAAGGACTTTAGACTATGGCTCACATTGCAGAAGCCCCGCAGTCTGGGCTTCCCTGCCACAACCATCGTCAGTGCAGAGGCCCGCTCGGCGAGCAACGCTGCGGAGGAGGCCTTGCAGGACCAGTAGGCCACCGCTTCCCTCTAATGTTCAACATCCTTTCCGCTACTCTAAGATCAAACCCTAAACCCTTAAACCCTTAAACCCTAAACCCTAAACCTAAAGATCCTTGGGCTCTGAGAGAGAGTAATTGAAAATTGATATCAGGGGGCAGGGGGGGGGTTCCACCCATAGGGCTTGTTCAGGGTAGCTCGTGCTTCTTGTGTGGTCGCGGGCTTTAAGAATGTAGCTCGAGGACCGACGTGTTCATGAAATAAAACACAGCTTGTGGAAAACGGGTTCAAGATTGAAGTCCTTCGCCAGCAGTGCCGTTTACCTGAAGGAACTCAGAATTTCTCCGGGAGGAGTTATGCTCGTTAGCACTGGCTTGATGACCTGTGGCTGTGGGTCATAATAATAATAGAAGTACGTGTAGGAATATGAAAACAATAATAATCGCGATAATGATATATAGATTCAATCGTCAGGCGCAAGCCTAGTTCCACAGTGCAACTGGTGCTTTGCTTGTTCGACAAGATTGAGAACTTCTTGCCTGGAAGCAGGATTATTGACCCCTGTGAGCCTCTGTGGCTATGATTATGCCAAGCCTTCATCTACTCATTGACGAAATCCAGCAAGTCCTGCCATGAACCTACGCCCCAATGACATATGCGTCAAGCCTAGCTATACTGACAATATGAGCTATAGTCTAAACTCCTAGTATCCCCCTTAGGGTTTCGGATCCAGCAAAAGCATAGCCGTAGCCCCAGTGTCCT